AGCCATTCTTCCTTCTGTACATGGTCACTTTCTTAATTCTGTTTTTTGCTCCTCACTCTTTGTTCTCTATTTTGGATTTTGGTCCTTATATATTTTATATATTTCCATTTTTTTTTTTTTCTTGCTGCAATTATTTTTCTTTTTGATCACATAATTTGTATTTATTAAATTACTTTTTTGTTTCTTGTCTTTTCCTAATTTATTTTTTGTAAATAAATACAGGTATTCTTATATAAGTGTATTTTTTTTTTTCAGTAGTGGTTTTTATACTTTTTGATGGTAATTGTGGATTTTTTTATTTTTGTTTTTATTTCTTTTTTTTTTTTTCAGCTTGACAAAAGTAGCACTGTGACATTCCCAACATGGCTTGTGCAAAAGCCCAATAATTCGTAACACAGATAAACACTATCATACATATGAGAAAACAAACTTATGTATTACATCTTGTACATTGGAAGTTAGCTTTTCCAGCTATGTGTCAAGGGTTTTTTCGTTTAATAATAAACATTGGTATTGTGTGATCGACATGTCCCAGATGTTACATTTTCGTAAAACACAGTAGGGGTGTATAGGTGTATAGCTTTGTGGGATTTTTCATCCTTTGTATAACCCCATTACTCTGTGTCCCGGTTTAATAGGGCGAGTCCTGGTCTCAACAATAACATTTGCTTACAGTGGTTAGCGTGCACTATATCTAACTTTAACGTTGATTGACATATATCCTTCGGTGTCAAGTAGCGTACAATATTTTAAGGTAGTGGTTTTGGTCGGGAGGGGACGCTGTCCCTCGTCCCTTGTGGTATAACCCTGGACCCGCCAGGGGTTAACTAATTCGCTAGGAAGCAAGGTTCGGTTCCCAGGTTCCCCCGCGATATTGTGAATGAAAGAGAGAGAAAGTCTAGAAAGAAGAAGAAAATGGGGGGGGGAAGAGGTGGCAAGGGAGAACAAAGGGGGGGAGGGGTAAGGTATGGGTATATGTCAGTTCAGCATGGTGTGGGGCTCTACGGTTTGTGTCTGTCTCTTCTGGGGTCCCATTCCAGGACCATCCCTAGCTTCAAGTGGGTTAGGTGTGTGTCGTATCGTCAGAGAGGTCGCTACTCTGCCATGGGCCCCACACTTTGTCGAAACTGGTCATGGATCCTCTTATCCGAGCAGTCAAATTGTCCATTAGGTGCACCTCTTTTATGTTAGAGATTACCCTCTGTATGGGTGGCATTTCTACTTGTAGCCACGTCTGTGCTACTGCTCTCCTCGCGGCTAGTGTAATCTTGTGGATCAGTTTCTGTTCCCTCTTTGTCCAGTCATCTAAAGATCTGTTAAGCAAATATGTCCAAGGGTCTAAGTTGGGCGCTCTATGGAAAATTCTGTATTCCAATAGGTGGAACGAGTAATGCCATTCGACCCTGTCAAAGGCCTTCTCTGCGTCTATTGAGACTAGTAGTGTTGGTGTGTTGTTGGTCTTTTGTCTCCAGATGAGATCAATATTCCTTCTGGTGTTCTCAAATAGTTGTCTATCGGGTATGAAACCCACTTGGTCTGGGTGTATCATTGTCTTTAGCACGGGGTTGAGTCAGTCTGCTAGGATTTTTGCCATGATCTTAATGTCGTGGTTGATCAAGGAGATAGGTCTATAGTTGTCGTGGGGGGAAGAGGGTCTCTGCCCGGCTTTTGGAGGAGAATAATGTTGGCGAGGGACATCTCGCCCTCTGAGCTCCCGCTGTCCATAAGGTTGTTGAAGAGTCGTTCCAATCTTGGTGAGAGTTCTTCCCTGAATGTTTTGTAATATGTTCCATCGTAGCCATCGGGACCCGGGGCTTTATTGCCCTTGAGCACCGCGATTGCCTTGTCTATTTCCTCGATAGTGATAGGATCGTTTTAAAGCGCTGCCGCAGCCATCGGGAGTTTTGGTAGGTCTAGGTCTTTCAGGAATGTATGCATGCATTTTGTCTTCTTGGGATGCAGGGTTCCTGGGTGTGTGGTTGTATAGCTTGTTATAGTAGTCTGTGAAGACCTGGGCTATGTCAGATGGGGTATTCTTAATGGAGCCGTCCTTGTGTTTGATCGTGGTGATAAGGGTACTATCCTGCCGTGGACGCAGGGTTCTGGCGAGCAGTGTATCCATCTTATTCGATTTTTCGTAGTAGGTCCTTTTGGTCCTCGAGATGGCTTTAGCTGTATCATCCAATAGGAGTTCCGAGATGGATCTTCTGGTCCCTTTCAGTTGTTCAAGAAGTTGTGGGGTTGGTGCCGTCTTGTGTTTTTGTTCAATCTTCCTCAGAGAGTCCAGGAGTTGTTTTAGTGTCTTCATCTTTTGTGCTTTTTTCCTGGTTGGTAGTTTGATGAATGAGCCCCTGATCACTGCTTTATGGGCCGCCCAGATGATGCTTGGGGTCATGTCCTCCGTTTAATTCGCGAGAAAGTATGCCCTTATGTCTTCGCGTATTTCTGCCTGTGTGCCTCTGTCTCGTAGCAGGTAAGAGTTCATTCTCCAGTTCCACGGTGAAGCTGTGCAGAGGTTCCCCAATGACAGGGATATGTCTGCGTGGTCCGACCACGTGATGGATCCAATCTTCGAGTCTACCGCCCTGGCCATGCTGGCATTATTCACTAGGAAATAGTCAATCCTGGAGTAAGTCTCGTGAGGAGCGGAGTAGAACGTGAAGTCTAAGTCACTAGGGTGTTGAGCCCGCCACACATCCACTAAGTCGGTGTTTTGGATGAAGTTGTGTATTTCTTTATCTTGGCTCCTTTTGCCCTGTGACCTCTGTTGACCCGCTCTGGAACTCCTATCTGCGGCTGGACACGGAACGGCATTGAAGTCTCCCCCCATTATGAGCATACCGTAGGGTAGGGTCTTTATCTTAGTGGTTAGGTTCTCCCAGAATGTGGTGTATTATATTCAGAGATATATATGTATTTTTTGTGGTAACAGTTTCTTGATCCATGCAGATATCTGACTTTCATTCTGTGGTCAAAAAGGAGTTTCCAACTTGTTTTTTTGCCTTCTTTTGTATCAACAGCAAAACATGATGTGAGAAAGACTTAACTTGATGGATGATTGTTTCTTTTCAGCTATGTAACTATCGAAGACAATGTCGGAGACTATAGCACTAGCATATCATGTACTTTTTCTGTAGCTTACTCCACCACAGTTCTGTCATTACCACAACTGGGAACAATTTCAACAATGTCAAGTTCATGGCCCTTTGGTTGCCACTCTCTAGGCCATTTCTCTGTACAACACTCACCACCCAAAAATGTGCCAAAGCCTGTACTACCATCTGTGTCCGCAAACATATTATTTGAGATCTGAACTCCATATGGTCAACCAGTTGAAATCCGTAAATAACTTTGAACACAATACCAAATCAGCCCTGACAGCCTTTCTGAGTTTGACCATGGTTCTGGGATTACATAACCCCTTAATATAACACTCCTGTTAAAGATCCTGTCCATGGGTATAACCCTGTTAGTGAAATTTAACAAACCCAAAAGCAACTACACATTGTGCAAAGCTGTCCAGCCCTTGCCCAGCATGGCTTGTACCGCTTTCAATGCCTTACTAGGGGCAACCTTCATATCAATCTCTATGATAAAGGATTAGATATAATGTAATAGTATTCCAGGAGTAATATAGGAAATATGCCTAATAAAAAATAATTGTGATGACAATTATTTATAAGTCAATGTTGATAGAACACAATACTTATATACTTTAAAAAATACAAAATACAAATATTGCACCATATAAAAAGTATAAAAATATTATTCCATAAATTAGATAAGAGAATTCAGAGTTTTAAAACTTCAGTGTTGCTAAAAAGACTTAAAATTCAATGTTACTTAAAATTCACAATATACTGCAACTTTGTATAGTCTATTTGGATTCAATTGCAAAACAAATCCTTTGAAATGTTAGCTAGTGTCAGTTATCCCAGTTACTGAGTTAACTGGGGCATATCTACTAAATAAGCGATATTTCTATAGTACAAAAAAAACAATCTTGCTTCTTCAGATGATATATAATTATTATATTGTACACTGTATTTCTCTGCAATGAACTATGAGCTTTAAGATCACAGAAAAGATCCCAAGTATTTTAGAAGTCTTCGATCTATGGGAAGATAAGACAAAGTCCCATAGTGTTTTCTGTTTAAATGAATGAATTTTATTTCAAAACAAGTAAAATTAAAATTGCACTCACAGAGTATGCCAAAGGGGCATGGTAACGCTGGATGATGTTGCTAGGGTAGAGTGGTACAGGGTCCTGCAGACTGGCCGGTTATGATAAGGCTCTGCTTGCAGCCACGTGCGTCCCACCGATTTCTCCACCGTGCGTTCCAATTTCCACCTCAGCAGTGCTTTGTGGTAAGTTTCCTGAAAAACAAAGTGCTTGAAAAGTCCTTACACGTCTCGTGCGTGTACTCACTTCATCAGAGGATACCGTTTGCATGCGGCAGTGGAGCTGAAATAGCCGATATAGTCCTTATGAATTGTTAACCATTTGATTGCCAAAGATGGTTTAAAGTAGCATTTAAATAAACACTTACTGCTGACTGTGGAGCATGGAAGATGCAGACTACAGTAGCTCCTGCAAATATCGTCAAAAAGCGCACTTATCAAGCCAAAGATGGCTACTAATCGGGCCAGAAAGGCTACCTGGAGCAGGGTGATGTTGGGGTGTACACGGAGACACTAAATAAGCGACAAACCAACCCCATTCACCTGACATGAGGATGAGGCCTATCAAGACGGCGGGCACGGGAGAGACGGCCGCTCTCCCATTGCCACCGCCGACCAAGCTTCAAGCCTTGAGCCCCGGTTCCCCCCCCTCTGGACCAGTGGGGGTCATCCCGGATCTACCCCCACAAGACACCCCTACAAAGCGGGGGGACAGAGACCATCCCAACGAGCCTGGACTGTGCCGCCACAAAGCTCCTCAAAATGGCGGACACCACTCACATGACATGTCCACAACCTGCCTGGCTAGACACAGAACGCAGACTTACTGCAATATTCACCACCTTCTGGCAGCGGTTGAAGGCTCATTTACAGTCCCTGGTGCACACTGATAGCCAACAGGCCAAACAACTCACCACGAGGCATCCAGAAGTGAAAAGCAAGAGCTCCTCCAAAACTTACACCCGCGAAAGCTGAGCTCCAGCAGGGTGCCCTCCCAAGACTACACCCACGATACGAGGTGAAGAGCAGCAAACCGAGGCCTGGGCTCCAGGAGAAACCGAAAAATACACCCCAACGGCGCCCTCATTGGAGACTTAAGCCACAGAAAGGAAAGACAAGCTTCACCAGACAGGCAATCCTGAGAGGTGTAAGACCCGAGGAGGTGACCACAATAAGACGGCGCAAACAGCGCTGCCCCAGCCCAACACCGGAGAACGCCGTGCAGCACCCAGTTAAGGGGGCAACATACCCACCGACAAACACACCTCCGCAAGATACAGCGGCTCGGAGCTCCCACACATTGGAGAAAAGGCAAGTGCTACGGTGAACAACACTGGGAGAAAACACCCAGCCCCAACAAGGCATCTGCTGACCCCATAGTGACTGTGATATGCTATCAGGCAAGCTGCCCAATGCCACCCGTTTTTTATATGCCTCAATTGGACAAGTATATTATTCGATGACACCTACTCTCTTTATATTTTGTTCTATGTCTTTGTTAGCAGGCAGCTTCAACATGGATGCTGTCCAGGAGGTGGGAGGATCTGGGAGGGAGGGTCTGCTGGAGATTGGCCGGGATGTGTCAGCTGACCGGAGTTCGCCACGAACCGCGGTGAACCGTTCGCGAGAAGTTCGCGGACGGTTCGCGACATCTCTAGTTTGCAGCATAAAATATAAATCACATGTTAATCCCTTTTAATAACCTTAACTCCAGGTTCCTGTTTTGACCAATGGGGGCAGAGCCAAACCCCCTACCTTTGACACTCCTGATCATGCTCTCTTTCTTCAAACTCTTTAATCACTTGGTCTCTGTAAATCTGTCCTCTCGTGGTTTTCCTCTTATCTCTCCCAACGCTCATTCAGTGTCTCCTTTTCTAATGATATCTACTCTCCTTGTCCTGTCTCAGTTGGAGTCCCCCAAGGCTCTGTCCTTGGCCCTCTTCTATTTTCTCTTCATACTGCTTCTCTTGTCAAACTTATTACCTCATTTAGATTCCACTACCACCTGTACGCTGATGACACCCAGATATATCTCTCCTCCCCAGACCTCTCCCCTGCAGTCCTGCAACGTGCTTGTCTTTCTTCCATCGCTGACTAAATGTCCTCTCGCTTCCTGAAACTCAGTCTCTCTAAAACTGAGCTCCTTGTCTTTCTTCCTCCTAATACGGGTCCTCTTCTTTCGCTCTCCCTTCAAGATAGTGGTATCCACATAAGTCCATCCTTGCAAGCACGCTGTCTTAGTGTCATACTTCATTCTGGCCTCACCTTTGAGCCTCACATCCAGTATGTTGCCAAATCCTGTAGATTTTATCTTAGAAACATAGCCTGCATTGGCCCCTTTCTTAAGCAAGATGCTACCAAGGAGCTTGTCCATGCTCTAGTAATTTCCTGCATGGATTATTGTAACCCTCTCCTAATTGGTCTTCTCCAAAGCCGTATTGCTCTGCTACAGTCTGTAATGAATGCTGCCGCCAGACTGATTTTTCTCTCTAGTTGGTCCTTTCACACCTCACCCCTCTGTCAGTCCTTACATTGGCTTCCTGTATCCTATAGGTGTCAATTCAAAGTGCTAAACCATACCTATAAAGCACTGAACATTTCTTGCCCCTCTTATATCTCTTCACAGATCCATAGGTATGTACCTTCTCACTCTTTCCTATCTGCCCGTGACCTTCTCCTGTCCACTGCTCGCATCCGTACAACCAACTCATGCTTGCAGGACTTCTTGCTGGCGGCTCCCTTCCTATGGATTAACATGCCTACCACCATCAGACTCTCCCCTAGTCTTCAATCTTTTAAGAAGTGCCTTAAAACCCATCTCTTTAGGAAAGCTTATGGCCTCCCAGAGTAACCTCTACCTTACTCTTACTCTGTCTCTTGCTCTGTCCTAAAGGGCAGCACTTTACTTTCTCCTCCAGCTCTGCTTCAATCCCACCTTATTTGATTGCTATTTCCTGTCCTACTGTGTTTTTTATCCCACCTCCTATAGACTGTAAGCTCATTTGAGCAGGGTCCTCTTCAACCTATCGTTCCTGTATGTTTTCTTGTAATTGTCCTATTTATAGTTAAATTCCCCCCTCATAATATTGTAAAGCGCTACATTATCTGTTGGCGCTATATAGATGGCAATAATAATGATAACAAAAATAATAATAAAGAGCTGTTATAAAAAAAAAAAAAAAAACAACAACAACAAAACCTATTAAATAAAGAATAATAAGCCCCCAGACCACTTCATTGGGATGGATGTCTAATGAGTACATTAAGTGGCCCTTTAATGAAGCTATATATATATATAGATGATTAATATTAAAAAAAAAAAATTACTTTCATAAAACGAAGGTTAACCTTGGTAGTAGAGATCCATAAAAGATAAATCACCTCCTTAGTAAATCTAGCAACATTCCTAGAAAAACATTCACCCAATGTCGAATAAAGAAGGGTAAGCATTGTCTTCTGTTATGGAAAGGGAAGGTCTTCATCTTCACCTCATTACAGAGGATCAAATGAAGCATCTGGTTTATCAAACATCAAGACATTCTGACCAATCATTCAGTATACTCAGCCATTCCCCACTCAGGAGTACCTACCTTGTTAACACTGCCACAGTTCTGTCTCACACAGAGCTACTGCTTACTCTGATGCAGCTGCTCTTTGTTGCTGAATTGAGCCAGTCAAGTAGGTCTTCTAGAACACTACTATGAACATGCTTGCACTGTACTGTTATTAATACATGAAAATGACCATTGTGATACATAATGAATGAGTCGAATTCCTCTGTAGTGGCAGCACCCTCTTTCATAATGAATAGATTAAAACAAAAATTGAACATTTGCATTGTGGCTGTTTTGGGCCTATTTCAAAGCATAGACCTGGACTTGCTGCTCCAATAGCACTTATGTAAATCTTGCCCTCCTGCATTTGTACCATGTAGGTGTTAAACTATTTTTATTTTATTTTAAATTCTTTATTTTTGTATGCAAGTTTCATCAACACGCCTGGGTTGCCACAACAGCAATCACCGGCTCAACATTTACATAGATTATCAGACATGTCAAATAGAGGATCTGCACAATTTTTGTATTTTAAAACAAAATTGGTAGGCATAGTGTAGTGTTTACAGGATGTGGAATAGGAGCGTGCCTAGTCCATGTATACCTAGGTTCAGACTTGGTGTTCTAGCGTGAGAAAGAACAGGACTGATGACTGTTGCATGGTATGTTAGAAAAGCAGGATGTTAAACCCTAATTAAGTAGAGTAACCTGTCTTAGTGAAAGGTGGGTTTTATTTCAGGAGTAGCATAGGTATAAGTAGGGGTGTCTTTTCTGTCTATGTGTTACCCCTATCCTATGGGGCAACGGGGGTGGGGGTGGGGGTGGGGGTGGGGAGTGTAGTCGTGGCGTCTTGGTGTGTGTACGGTGAGCTAAGGAGGTGGGGGAGCTGTACCCTGGCCTTGCTAGGCAAAACAGTAAGTTCAAACAGTAAGTTTAACGGTCATAACAGGTGGCTTAAAAGAGTGCAAATGCGCTGTCGCTGGCTGCTGTCAACTTGGGCCCATTATCTTGGGCTGTTTGGGTTGTAGATTCTCCTCTCCCATTCAGGTCTTTGAGCTCATGGGTGCCAGCATTCGTGGGGTGAACGGTGCGCTGTTGGCTGGGTCCCAAACCCTGTGCTGTAGCTCTTGGGGTAAGTTGGTAGGCATGTCTGGCAGTCCCAGTTTCGCTAGAAGTGCAGGTACCTCCGTGTCCGACGTTATCTTGTAGGTGATGTCGTTGTGGGGGAGTAGCAGGGATCTTGGTGGTCCCCAGCGGTAAGGCACTCCTAATGTGCGTAAGTGACTTGTGAGGTGGGTCAACAACTTGCGCCATTGCAACGTGGCTCGGGTTAAGTCCTGGTAGAACGACAACTGGGCCGTTTCAAATGTAAGAGAGGTTCTACCTCTGGTTGCAGGCAGAAGTTGGTTCTTTTAATGGGAAGTGGCACATCGCAATATGACATCCCTGGTGGCTACATTAGGCGTCTCGGAGGTGGCTGGAAGTCGGTATAGGCCATCGAGCACAAATTTCCGGCTAACTGTGGCAGGATGGTGGCCAGGAGTCTCCTTACGTAATGCAGCAGTTCGTTGGCTTGAATGTCTGCGGATGTTCACCAAATTTTTATGTGGTTTCGTCTGGAGCAGTATTTGTGTGTGGACATTTGCAGTGTTAGGCTTTGCTGTGAGGCTTGCAGTTGCTATATTGTATGTTGCATGTTTGTCATGCCACTTTGTAGGTCCATGATGTTGTCTTCCGTCGCTCGCACACGATCGGTGACATTTTGCATGCCAGCTTTCAGGAGTCCCACGTCTGTAGCCAGCATCTTTTGTATGTCCTGCACCCAGTTTTGTAGATCTTGCTTGGTGGCAAGTGAGGTGTCACCCGACGTTGTGTTGTTTGCCAGCATCGTGATTTCTGTGTCTGTTTGGGTAGAGGAGTGGGCCAGTGAGCAGGATGGCGTCTGGTCAGAGGTGGCCAGTTTGGGTTGTGTTTGCCGCTGTAGTAAGGTGCCGATGTCATGTTCTGTGGAGGAGCCGAGAATACCACGTACGCGGCAGCTATTTGAAAGCTAAGCATCATCATTAAAACCTTTCTTCCCAAGACGGATGCTAAACCACTTGCGGTTCGAAGTTGTGGGCAATTTTATTTTATTTTTTGGCAACATGCAGCACCACACTCTTGGCAACTAGTGATGTCCCGAACTGTTCACGAACGGTTCGCCGCAGACTCATCATTGAGTAAACTTTGACCCTGTACCTCACAGTCAGCAGACACATTCCAGCCAATCAGGAGCAGACCCTCCCTCCCAGATCCTCCCACCTCCTGGACAGCTCACTAAGAATGCAGCTTCACAATTGATGCTGTTCACGGCGAACTGTTCGGCGAACAGTTTGGGACATCACTATTGGCAACACATTCAAGGCAACACTTACTGAGACCACACCAGCGGTTCGAATTGGCACAAGTCTCCACTCTAAGCGGACAAGACCTTTTCTTATGTTTTAGCTTATACAGTCTACCATGCCTTGTGACAGCATACACGACAGACCAAGCCCCACTAACACAAGGGGGACGCAAAAGACCCCTGGAGGTGTAATTAAATGCAACTTCGACTATAGTATCTGACGGCTCCTGGCTACCTATGCAGCCAAGACAGGGGCATAGGG